CGGTTTTTCACTGAGGTCTTCATTTGTATATATATATATATATATATATATATATATATATATATATATATATATATATATATATATATATATATATATATATATTTAATTATATATATATATATAAATATATATATATATATTTATATATAAATATATATATATATATATATATATATATATATATATATATAAATATATATATATATATATATATATATATATATATATATAAATATATATGAATATATATATATATATATATATATATATATATATATATATATATATATATATATATATATATATATATGTATATATATATATATATATTTATATATATATATATATATATATATATATATATATATATATATATATATATATATATATATATATATATATATATATATATATATATATATATATATATATATATATATATATATATATATATAAAATGGTTGAATGAGTTCGTAAGCGGAAGCTCATAAAAGAATGGATGAATAATTCAAATTTAATTTTACAACAAAGGATAATATCCATCAACACTGAGATCTAAAAATAAAACAGTCAAATTCAAGTTAATCTCACAAGTAAATAAGTATCACAAATAAGTAAATCTGGTGAGTTTCGGGCATTTCACAAAATTGGCACATATGGCGAGTTAAACTTTTTTTCTTACGCGCAACACAAACACGACACTGTCGCCGGAGTTTTAATTTTATACCGTCTGTAAAAATTTTGATTATTTTATGTTTCTTTTCATCTTTTGACAATCTTCCTTTAGAATCAATTCTTCTGGTCGTATCTTGGTACAGAACGATTTTCATTATACGGAGTAAATTCGCTTACCCATTCGCTTATCCTTTGCTATATCATGTAAAAACATTTTGTACTTTTTTTTTTAATTATATTCAATATTTAAAAAAATCTAAACGCATTAAATAATGCACAAATTATTGGAAAAAAAACCTGCTCTTTTAGTCCATTTTATTGTACGACGTAGTAAAGTGTAATACGACAAATATTGATTGGCGCGATCATCATCTTTCATTGTGGCTTAAAAATTGTTTCATTTGTCACCCAATTAATAATGTAGCTTTCTACAATATTGATTGAATGTATCGTCGAAATCATTCGGACAGGTCTTTTGATTGCCAACAAAATATAGATTTCCCTCTTTTGAGTTTTGCATTTTTAAATTAAGTAGATATTATATAGATTAAATATACTCTAAAGGCTATAGACGCGATATACTCTAGATATAGATTAAATATACTCTATAGGCTATAGACGCGACACCAAACAACGGTCTAAAAGACTATCAATAAAAATCGGACAAGAAACTGATAGATTGATAGAAGAATATATTTTATAGATTAGTTTACCTCCTTAAACGCTAATACGCGCATGCAACAGGCGCTAGAGCATTATCCTTCTCTAAAGTTGGTACAAATTATCCGATAGTAGTACTTTTGCTACTAATAAGTAATTAGAGGTTTGTTATTACCAGCTTGACGATCTTAGAAAGGATCGTGTCACTTGTTACAGATTCATTTCTTCTTTTATAAAAACTTATGATTTATAAAAATTCTCCAGATAATTTAAGGTATCTGCTGGTGTAAAAGGAAAGCCTCAGGATTATGCGTATTTGTCTGCATGCTTTTTAATAATAGGGTTTTTATCATGCTAAACATTTTTTTTTTCTTTTTTTTCTATAAATTTGTATTTAAATTTTTCATAACCAATACAAAACTAAAAAGTTAAAGTTAAAGAACATTAAGAACTATTATTTTTATTTATAAAATTTTAAGAAAGTGTTTTATATTATATTGTGTTACGTTTTTTTTTTAAATTTATTACGCTATTTTATATTTACGGTATAGGGGCTTGGTAATAAGACATATTATGTCTTCTTCTTGCCCCTGCTATTTGTATATATGTTATGCTTTACGACTTGAATAAATTTATATAGTAAAAAAAAAAAAAAAAAAAAAAGTACTTTTACTTATAGGTAATGTGGTTTATCCTCATCCGGCTAGTTGCCATTCAGAGGCCACATTCCCAAGGCCCGTAAAGACGAATTTAGCTCATTAAATAGCATCATTACCCGCTTTGCAGACCAAGAGTATGTAATTTTGAGAAAAATGAAGGAATTGTTGAGAAAAAAAGAGGAAGTCAAGTCAGAATGATAGCATAGAGAAAGCGGACATATAGATGTAGAATGTGCAATTTGACCCGTAATTTTATTTTATTTTAATTTTTTTTCATCACTATATCAAGGATGTAAATTAACAAAAAGAATATTTTTACTTGTGACTTTATTGTTTTTTCGAATGAGTTTTCTTTATATTTTTTTTTTATACCCGTTACACAATATACACGCTTAAAAATAGTGTGGACAAAAAACACGACACTTAGTGTAGCGTCTTTTTGGCTACACAAATAGTGTACTTCAAGGCTACACTTGTGCGCTTTAAAGCCACACTTGTAATTATGAAATTAAACTTCATTATATGCGTAAAAAAAGCCACACTTAGTGTTGCACTTTGTTGGATTCTCGTATCGAATTATTCGGAAAAGAGACTAGAATCATCTTTTTAGCGACATGTTTTTTTTTAAGAACCATTTTCAGTTTTACTGAAAATTTTAGTTAACTTTTATTGCTGCATGGTAATTTTAAACACATACATAGTTAACTTTTTCATAAAAAAATATTTGGTTTGTAATATTTTAGTAATATCGTATTAAATATGTTAAGCGAGGAAAATATCGATTTTCAGTTGTTAAAAATTAGGTAAGACCTTCGGTTTGTAGTACATTACTACATGAATTAGTTGTGTGACTTTATTTAATTAGACTAATGTTATTATTTTATATATATTGTATTAAAATGTTAATACAATTATTTTAGTTACGTTAACAACATTATTATGAAGTTATAAAAATTATAACATAATAACATTAATTATATAAAATAATAACATTAGTCTAAAAAAAATGTGTAAAATATAGGTTTAAATAAAATCACATGACATTAGCAGTTAACTGGTAATCTGTTAACATAACACAAGTAATGTTGTTAACATAAATGTAAATAATGTTGTTAAATAATATTGTTAACGTTAAACCTTAATGTTAATGTTGTTTAAGTTAATTTTTTTATGTTATAACAAAATGGAAAATATTTAATACATAAATATTATCAAATAAATATGATAATAATGTTATTTTAGTTAAAATAGCAGCATTTTAGTTATATTAACAACAACTATTTTAGTTATCATATGTTAACAACTAGATTATATGTATATACATATAATCTAGTTCTATATAATCTAGATTATATGTATATATATATAATCTACCCTTTTTGGTATACGTATACCATAAAGGAATACTTTACATTATGTACATATCTTTTTTTTTTTTGCTGAGATAACTAATGAAAATCATTATTGCATGATATATCATTCAATAATGATTTTTATAAGTTATGATTATGATTTTTAGTCATGTTGCATGTTAAAATAATGTATTAAATAATTTTATCATACCTATGAAAGCCCTCTAATAAAATTATATTTATATATATATGCAATAAATGCACAATTGCAACTATGATTTATAGTGCTATAATATGTATATATTGTGTATATATATATATATATATATATATATATATATATATATATATATATATATATATATAATTTTTTTTTTTTTGATAAAAGTTAATAAAATGTTTATTTGCTGTATATGAGGTACTTTTACGTAACTATTGATTTTTTTTCAAAATCATCTACAACGTCATAATAGTATTGCCAAAATTGTTTATCCAATTAGATGTTTACAGAATGGCTGTAAATGTACCTGTACAGCATATATGTCGCTAATTAGACATGTAAAATGTTACCATAATATTGATAATGATTTCATTGATAAAAATCCTGAGCCAAAATACATAGTAATCTATTAAATGATAATCGTAACGATTTATTGCCTAATTTTTCAGAATATTCATTGCCTAGTTTCCCAGAGAATTCTACTTATCAAGTTTACACTTAACCTGAAAAAACAATAGAATATATTGATCCTTTGTTAGTTTCTTCATTGTGAACAAGCAGCAGTGTTCCTTATTACATTATACCTGAAGTAATTGTTTCTGTTAACAGTAATTTCATAATCATTAGTTTCCTATATTGCAGTGCTCAAATAGTTTTTCAAAGCTTGCCAATCAAATGTAATTATTTCACAAAAAAAGGTTTTCCTTGAATTTTTTGAAATTTCTTTAGACATTGCTGATCATTGATCGGTTGTTATTTTGAGCGATGATATTGGTAATGCTGCTTTATCAGTTTTCAATGACATTAGAGCAGATTCCACTCTATTAATGTTTAAGAGTAAGTTTGAAAGTAGTGTTATACATTGCAATGAGCCACTCAAGTTTCTTGACACATTATATAAACAAGATAAACACTTAGAAAAAAATTCTCTTTTTGTAACTTCTGAAACATGCAACATGGGCCCTCCTAGATATGAAACTAATGAGGGAATTTCAAAGATAGTTTCATTTCATTGAAGAGTTATCAAGTAATGTTACATTGCATGATGGCTTTAACACTTGCAAACAAAACATTTTGTTACTAGCAAGAGATTCAATGTTCAAAAGTACTTTGTCAGAAGACTAATATAATGGAGGTATATATATGTCTACTACCCTAAGTGGGGAGAATGAATAAATAAGAACTTTATAACTTAAATAAGAAATTTTACAACATAATTGTCAATCTGCATAAGTACTAAGCTGCTGCAACTTGACTATGTGCCAATCTGCAAAAGTGCGAAGTTTCTCTTTCTCATCTTATTTCATTTATTAGTTCCTTATGTAATATACCCTTTTAATCCAAAAGAAGGTTTTTTTATAATCTACCTATAAAGGTTTATAAGTATATACAAGTTGTTCCCTGATTTATTTTTATTTTTATTTAAAAGATGCAACTTTTCTTGCATTTAAGGCGCTCCCTTTTCTTATGATAGCACCTCCACAGAAGAGCAAGAAGAGTCCAAGAATTTGGGTATATTTTATAGAGAAATGGATGTAAGTTTTTTCTATGCATTTTTTTTTAAAGTTTTAAAATTTGGTTTATAATCAAAAAGTATTACTTTTTTGAGCTTTGAATTTTCTGCATTTTTAAAATTTTACTTAAACATTTAGGTACACCTCAGTCTTGAAAGCTCCCTTGAGTTATTGAAGAGGGAGAAAGTTTTTCTACTGATTTTATTCAAGTGTTGCAGCACTCTATTTATAACTCAAATTATAACTCTAATTATAAGTCGATAATACAGCTATACGGTTGAAAGCCATACCGAGTATTAGATTTGCTTTTGAGTTGCAGCTAGTCTCTTATTATGTATTTAATGTCAATTTTCCTCATGAACTTATTTGTGTATATAGATTTATGGGATATTTGCTTGGAATAAACAACAAAAGAATTATCGTCAATTCCTTTTAAAGAAAGTATTGCCAAAAGTTTAAGATTAAATTAAGCAATATGTTTGTGAAACGAAAAAGTATTTTTATCACTTTCTTGTTTATTTTTGTTATATCGTCAGCCGAGAACCAAGAGACCGTATGTCTTTTTTTTTGTGTTTCCAAGAAAATCAAGTTTCAAATTTTAATTTGCAAAGTCTTTATGAAACACACACTCCTGAATATTTATTGATAATGGACAAAAAAAAAAAAAAAACACAAAATGTTGATATACGATTCTTCTCTGACGGCGGTATCTATTTTTCAAGGTTTTAACTCGCTTTTGCATATAAATGTTTTAAGACTTGTTTTTAATTTTATATTCACTGAATTGAGTTTGAGTTTGAACTGAGTTTATATACTTAAAAGAAATACTATAACAATGTATTGACTCGGAATTAAAATAAAATTTATATTTCAGTTTTTATTATTTTATTGTGATATCGGTCCGTTATTTCTTGTAATCCAATATAATATACATGTGTAATTTAGTATGACTCTAAATGAAAATGTGTAATTTATTATATGATATAAATAGCATTCTTTATTTGAATTATTTAATTGCACCCGGTTATATACATAGTACATGAAGACCTAAATGGGCGGAATAAATCACGCATAAATATACTTACAAAAAATCAAAACATTTTTAACGTCTAGAAAAACACAGATTAGTGTTTAAACTATAGTGTTACATCTAGCGCAACACTAATTTTGAGGTTTTTTTACAACAGTTTTGTCGCGCAAAAAGAGCATATATATACAGCCATTGATTAAATGCAACAATTATGTCGAAAAAATTTCTACTAAAGTGTCGCATTAAAGGCCACAAAGTGTGGCTTTCAAGTCTACATTTTATGTAGCTTTACGAATGCAACACTGAGTGTGGCTTTTAAAGCTACATAGTGTTGGTGTAGCCGGCGTCGACACTCATTGTTGTATTCTACGCGACATAATGTAGCCTACGGCTCAACACTATTTTTAAGCGTGTAGTTACGCTTATTTGAGTAAAATCTTAAATATGTTAATTATTTGAGTAAAAACCCGCTTAAAAGTTTTTAATTTAAGATGTTAATTAATGTTTAGAAATTATGTTAGAAATAAGGAAATAAATAATGTTTTATGCGATTTGAATTGCAACATAATAAAGCACAACGCATCCAAGGTTTTATGAAAAAAACCTTATTGTCGGTTTCAAGATCATTAGATTTACTGACTCAGGTAACGTTTCAGGTTCCTCAATCAAAAACAGCTTATTAGAATAAACTGAGGTTTTTACTAAAGCAGGATCGGAAGCGTTTAATCTTTACCCAAATTCTACTAAAAGTTTTCTACGTTTAAATGAAGTAGGCACTGTAATTATTTCATTATCGACTTCAACGGAACTTCGACCGTTACGCAGGTATTGTAGAAGTTAACTCATATCAGTTCGTCATTCATGCATATGAACCATTAAAGTTGTGCACATTTCTTCGCTTGTTTTATTGCTATTTTTTAATCTTTAATTGTTTTATTGTTAACTTTTATTCTATTATTTTTGTAAGCTATGACTGTAAATAGTTTAGAATCTCGGTGACAAAATGCTTTAACGATTGCTTTAATGGGAACTTAAGTTGTAATAACCCCTGAAAATATTATCACTTTATCATGTGACAAAGCTATAGAATTATCTTGGACTAAGTAAATATCAATTAATGATTTTTGTATAGTTTTTTACTTTGTAATACAGTTTAAGCATTAACAGAAGGCTGCTCCAACGTTTCTTGCAGTCCATTATGAAAGACATTTTTTTTCTTAACTCACCCTTGATATATTTCATTCAAGGGAAAAAAATTCTTTTGATTTTATACGATAATTTATCAAATTTTTCCTTTAGTTTTTATTGTTATTTATATTTGTACTTTTAATATTCATTAACAAAAAGAGAAAGTCATTACTACTATATAGACTAATACAGTAATTGCTTGTAACCACTTACGATTAAAATTAACAAGTTATACTGTTTAAATGTGATTACTGCAGTAGTAGCACAATATTATTAGGCCACGTACGTCATGAAATGTTATAGAAAGTAGTTTATAATTAAGTAGTTTAAAATGTGATAGTTTTCGTTGAAAGGGGATTGAAAGCACAGCCTAAATATAATTTAGCATCACTGCTAGTTTTCTATTATCTGTCAGTGTATGTCATTTATTTCACAAAGATGATTCAAAGTAATTTCATAAAAAAAAAATAACCATCAAAGCAGCAAATCGAAAAAGACAACTGCAATTTAAGCGAGAAAATGAAATATCTGCAAAGGTATTTACAAAATATTTTCAAGTAGAGTTCAATCAAAGTGAAGAAATCGGTTTGTCATTAGTAATTCTTTTTTGGACGAGAAAATGGAAGAAAGTAGTCTTAAAACAACATGTCAGTCTCCTAGTTGCTGGCTATAGTGCAGGATCATTTATATCTATTTGAACGTCACTGCTGGTTACGTTCAAATAGATATAAATGAGTCAGTTCGAGCAGCCGTGGCAGCAGTGGTTTAGTAATTGGTTTGATGCTATTCTTAGGCTTGAAACAAATAAAACTATTGATAAAAATTACCAATCTTTAATTACTAGAGAAAGAGATCGCTGGCGACTTGTGTTAGATTGCATGTGCAACATAATTTTGTACCAATCAAAAAATAACTTATTTTTCGTGTTTCTTCAGCCAGATTATTTCCTCTTCAAAATGAAAATGTTTAAGGTTTAGTGGAACTGTTGAGCAAATACGATGCAACTTTAACATGTTGTGTAACCGCGCATTTACTACCTATTTCTTCTAAATAACCTCATGTAACTTAATGCGGAAAAAAAATTAAAAATGAGTTGATTTCTTTATTGGCATTCAAGACAATATTTTAAGACGAGCTAGAGATACGAAATATTTTAGTATAATTTTAGACAGCACCCCTAATGTCAGCCATAATGAATAACTCTCCTTTACATTAGGATTTGTTGATATTTCAAGCGATGAGATAGAGATTAAAAAAAATTATAAAACTTATTAGACTGTTGAAAAGTTCACTGGATAATATTTATTAGAAATTTTACAAAAAATGTTTAAAGATGTAAATTTAAGTCTAATCAATTGTAGAGAGCAAGGATATAATAATGTTGCAAATATGAAGGGTAAAAATAAAGGCGTACAAGCTTGAGTTTGTGAACTAAATCCAAGAGATTTTTTATGTGTATGGATTCGTAAAAAAAAAGTAACGACTTCGACTCTGACTGAGTATGAACATAAGATAAATTGAATGTTTTGTACAGGCACGTGCAATACCGAGAAGTTTTACTATTGGAGTCGGAGTCGCGATTTTGTTTAATCATTCTGACTCCAACTCCACTGAAAATGTCACAACTCCGCAATTCCGACTCCGACTCTACAGCCCTGCTTGTGGATGTAATTCTCTAAATTTAGTTATGAGCGATTCATCATCTTGTATTGAGTCGATATTACTTTTTGGAATTGTCTAACAAATATATACACTGTTTTCAGCTTCAGTATCTAGATGGAACATACCGAAAGGTCACTTATTCAATTTTACTTCTTTGTGAAACTCAATTGGAAAATCAAATTGAATGTTTAAAACAAATTCGGTATCAAATAATGAAAGTTTTCGATGCTTTAGTAACTTTGAGTGAAATTCTTCTCATATTTCCATTAAACTAGAAGCTTATACATTTTCTAATAAACATTTTTTCTTTTTTGATAATGCTTGTTACCTGGTTTAATATTTTATATCGTGTAAATATTGTTAGCAAATCCATACAGCCATGGATACAGCCTCAGTAGTTTCACTTATGAAATCATGTACAGATTTTGTGATAGAATATAGGGTAACTGGTTTTGAAAATTCTCGTGAGTAAAAAAAAGTTAGCTGAATCTTTGCAAGTTGAGCTTATTTATAAAAAGATTACGCCGTAAAAAAAATGTTTGCTTTTATGAATAGAGATGCAATTGTAATAATTCCAAAAAACATTTTTAATGCCATAACATCTCTTCAAGAAAGATTTTAACAACTGAATGAATTTCACCAAACATGGGAAATTTTATATAATCTGAAGAAATTTACCTGCGGAAAATGGCTTACATAAGTTTTGAAAAGATCTGCATTTGAAATTAAAAATGGAAAATAATTGCGATATTGATGGCACAGAATTATTTGACGAGTTGAAATTTGTATCTACCCTTTTGCCTAAAGATACTCTTGGACGTCCGCTAAATGTCTTGAACTATATAAAATCAAGTGAATCGCAAATTGTGGTTCTTAATATTTGGATTTTATTACGAATGTCTGTCAAACTAATTACTATTGCAAGTGAGAATTTTAGCAAATTGAAGCTAATAAAAAAATATTTACGATCTACTAAGATTGACGAACGATTGAATAACTTAATCTATAATAGCCATCGAAAATGAAAGAGCAACACAATTAGACATAACCAAAAAAATCAAGAACTTTAAAGATTTAAAGGCTAAAAAAATTAACTTTTAGTATTGTATAAAGTTTAAATTGATTCCTGTTTAATCTTTTAAATAAATGATTTATGATTTGTATTTGGACCTTAATTTCTTTAGTTATTTAATCTTCCTTTTAAAAGACAAAACGTAGACCTTTTATTTTCTGCAAATCAAACCTTTTCGATAGTTTTTTTTATTGCCCAACTAAAAATACAATTATTTTCTGCAATTTTATAATATTTCTCAATTACTTTATTGAGACGCATAAGTTGCTGTAATTTTTTCAGTACGATGTTATATTTTTTCAGTAAGTTGTTTTTTTGCTTAATCTTATAGGAAATCCCGGATTTGATAATAGAGAATCCCAGGATTTCGAAATATATAAAAAACCGGTATCCCGGGATTGCAATCGCTAATCAATTGGTGTTGTTTTTATGGTTTTTTTAGATATACATATGTCAACTTCTATCCAGGTCAGAAAATTGTCTAAATGGAAAGTATTTCTTTCACGTGAAGTTGAAGATTGCTTTAATATTTTTCTGGTCTTTTAGATCTAATTTTTCTACGGTTGAGAAAATATTTTTGTTAAACAACTTGTTACAAAAGTCTTTTATAGTTAATCGCAAAGTTAGAAATATCTTGATCATCTCTACTTTTTAAAAAATGGAGTTAATGTGTTTTAATGTTTTTCTACTGTATGAAACATAAGTAAAAAAATTACGGAGGATACATAAGTTATAAAAATATTTTTATATGGCGTCTCGTAAATATTTCGTTTTTAAAATCGTTTTATCCCTTTTTGAATACCATCATGATTATCTAAAAGAGATGAAACAATAAACGATTAACTTATCTAAATTGAACCAGTCTATAGCAGCTAGCAACTATACTCTACTTTGTATTTACCTCTCTGTCCTCTCGATTGTTCTAATTTTGTTGTTGACACCAACTAACAATAACATTTTAAAGCGCGTTTTTTGCAGAGACATAAATCAAAAGTACATGTCTTTTAAAATGCCGCGTCAAGAAATTTATTTACTTTTTTAAAAACTGTAAAACATGCTCTGTTCTTTTTTGACAAATATTAACATCTAAGTAAACAAATTCAATTTTGTTGGCAAACATATAAATTAAAAAGTTTTTTACAGTTGATAATAGAAATACTCGTTTACAGATGATGTTGGAGTTTGAAAAGTTATTTTCAGTAAAACATTCTTTAGTAACAAATCGTCGTTTAAAATTAAATGGAGGAAGAAGGTGTTTGCAACGAATTCGATGATTTAAAGGGTGATTTTTGTTTCTGTTATATAAATACACAATGCTTTTGACATTGTTTAAAAAAACCATTTGATTTTTTCAGTTAAAAAACTTCCCCAAGAAGTGTTGAACACGCTTGCACATGAATTACCCAATGACTGGAAAAAGCTTGCTCGTAGATTGGATATTGGCGATAAAAAAATTGATTGTGTGTTGAGTGAGTTTAATACTGCCTTTGAACAAACCTATCAAATTCTAAACAGTTGGATTAGAAAGTATCCTAACAAAGTATGGAAAGATATTAAAAATGGATTGGTTTATTGCGAAAGAAACGATGTAATTGATAAGTGTGAACGAAGTAAGTTTTTATTATTTATTATAATGAATTAAGCTATCCGATGTTTTTATCGCATGAACTATATATAACTCGCTTAAATATAATAAAATAAAGAACACACATGAGTAGTAAGAAATAATGTTATATGAAAAGTTAAAACTAAAACTTAATCATAAACAATTCAATTAAGTTTGTAAGTAGTTCATGCGTGTTCTTTAAAAGTAGATTTGTTAGCGAGTGCGTTCATGGAGTTTTTCGTACACTGTAAAAAAACTCAGGCCATGTTGTTTAATAAAGCCGCCATGTCACGAAGCCCGATTTAACACACACATTAAAATTTAAAATTGTCACGCGACTTTTAGATATTAAGTTTGGCGTGACATTGCCATCTTATAGCTATTATAATAGCATAGCATAATCGCATGTCACCAAGCCCAATTTAGCGCGTCCACATTTAAATTTTCTAAACGTGGCGTAAAAAATCGGGCTCGGTGACATGCGACAAGATAGTGTTTTCGATATTTTGTGACAAATGAAATATTTTAATGTCACGCCACACTTATTTTTAAAAAGTCGCGTGACTTATAAATGTCACGCCTAACTTAATATTAAGTAATACGTGACATTTATAAGTCACGCGACTTTTTTAAAATAAGTGTGGCGTGACATTAAAATTTTTTATTTGTCACGGAATATCTAAAACACTATCGTGTCACATGTCACCAAGCCTGATTTTTTACGCCACGTTTAGAAAATTAAAATGTGACGCGCTAAGTTGGGCTTGGTGACATGCGACACGATAGTGTTTTGGATGTTAACAATTAAAAAGTATAAATGTTTGCCATACTTAATTTAAAAAAATTGCGTGACTAATTTAATAAAAAATTGATAAATAAAACGATTTAATGGCACACTTTAATAAAAAAAAGAAAACCAAACAAAAATAAAAGTTATATTTTATTTTGATAGTTTAAAAACCATCATTAAATAAAAACATTTAATTTTGAATTATTTTTCGTATATTTGAATTGTTAATATATTTTCAATTCAAAGCTAATAGTTAAACAGTTTCAAAATCCGAAGAAATAACAATACTTTTCAGAAGACTTTACATATTTTTAGCCAAAGCTTTTTAGTACAAGCAAATGGTAATTGCAATTCATAATGGTGCAATAGCCCTAAATGGTGCAATAGCCCTCCAAATGATCTTGGGTTAAGCGAAAAAATTATTTAAAAAAATATTTAAATAAAAAGACGTAGTGAACTACTATGCCGATGACCCATTGATACTACTTTCATTTTGTAAAAAAACGTTACATTTTCTACTAAGTTGCCTCACAAGTAAAGAAATATTATCTTCAGCCTAAAATTTTGTTAAAAAGTGATGTTAGGTTCATTTTAATAACATAACATTACAAAAATAAATATTGAACTATAAAAAAAAAAGAAACAACTTTTTATTAAACTTATACTAGCAATAATAATTGGACACAACACCCCACTTCTATTAGTGCCTTCCCAGTTGGCTTGCGTCGTCCGGAGAACGTTTTTTGAACGTCTTATGGACGTCTAGACAACCATGAAACGTCTGACGTCCTCAAGACGAAGCATGCCCACTGGGTTTTCTGGTACACAGCAAAATCCAAAATTCTTGTTTTAAGCAAAAAAAAAGTCTTAAAACAAGAAAAAAAAGACTTGTCCGCCACATTAGAATATTTTTTCTTGTTTTAAGAATTTATTTAAATTTCATGATGATTTTTTTTTTCTTGTTTCAAGAATTTAAAATTCTTAAAATAAGATTTTTTTTTTCTTGTTTCAAGAATTTATATTAAAAAAAAAGAATTTTTTTCTTATTTCAATATTATTTCAACTTAAAATAAGATTCTATTATCTTGTTTTAATAATATTCTTATTTATAACTATAAAATAATATTACAAGAGTACTTTTTCTATGAAAAAAATCAAACATTATTTTATGATTAGGATTTTATATAATAAGAATATTTAAAAAGCATTTGTACATTTAAACAACAACTCTAATCGTTTAAATAACAAATTGTTTTTTGGAATGTTTTGTTATTGTTCATGCTTGTAGCGGCAATACTCCTTCCATGTCCATGACAAGTGTATTCAAATAAGTTCAATCACGACGTCTGAAAATAAAAAACTTCATAAAATAATATTTTGCCACACATAACAACCACCTCGCCTCCATTGTTTGTTACGTACAGACAAAAGGATTTTCTTAATCTGAAAATAAATAAATAAATATATATATATATATATATATATATATATATATATATATATATATTTATATATATATATATATATATATATATATATATATATATATATATATATATATATATATATATATATATATATATATATATATATATATATATATATATATATATATGTAATCTAATTGTAATCTGATGCCAACCTAAAGCAGTTTAAGGTCGGCTATTTATTACTCACATTAGTTTTACTAATTGTGAGGGTTGTGTATACATGCATACTTACCTGTATTTGAGTGGCAGTGGGCGAGGAACTGCTAACTTGTTTATTTCATAATGTGAAAGTGTGTAAATGTCTTCAGTCAAGCTTACTCTTGCTGAGTCAACTGTGACAGAGGACTTTAATACACGAACTATGTCGCCAACAGTCTGAATTAAATAAATAAAAAAAAGCGTACAATATTAAAAAGCAGAAAAACTTATAAAATAACCCATTAGAGGACATGGCAGTTTTAAAAAAAATACCTTCTCACTTTAAAAAAAATTTGTGATATTAAAACACTATTACATTATATCAAATAAAAATATAAAATCACAAACAAAAAATTAAAAAATCTAACCACCGTCACATTAGAGAAACATGTATATTTCTTTTAAAATAATGCAATTCAATAAAGAATTTAATGCTTTGTAGTGTATTTAGGGTTTCCTAGGGTTTTGGACAGTGGTTTTTCGAGTGTAAAGTGTTAAGGGGATTACCCGTTTAACGGGGGTTTAGGGTAGGTGAGTACTGCTTAGTAATCAAGTATTAAAGTTTCATACTAGTTTTATTCATGAATGTAACACATAATATAAGAAATTATATTAAAAAGAGTTTAAAAAATAATTTGTATTTTTGTCACATAATCATAAATAAAAAAAAAGTTCTGACGCTTTTACATGCGGTCATGTGTTCAATCTGATTTTGATACATTTCTTTTATTGCACCTATTTAACAAATAGTGATTTGTAAATCCATATTATAGTGAATGTTTCAATATTATAAAAAATATTTGCTAACAATTTCTTGACGGAACAGGTGTTCTTTGTGTTCTGAATATGGCAGAGAGCAGTGCATATTCCTTACTAAACAACTAATGTTTTCGATTTCGGAAACTTTTATATCAAAGCAAACTATCATACAAAAAATTTGCATAAAGACTAAATTAAAACTTATTAAATTCTTACTGTATATATTAAGCAATAAAAAAAAATTTTTATCTATAAAAAAATAATAAAAACCATTTCTTTTGAAAAAGATTTTAAATGTATCACTTTTATATCTTCAAATGAGCTATCATTTATCTTATTTTAATATTATGGTTTAGTTTCAATATAACAATATTGATATTTTATATATATATATGTGTATATATATATACTCGCTAGAGTATTCAAGACATCCAAGATAGAGGTAAATTCTTTTTTAGAACTTTTCTAATAAACACACACGCCATATATACTCTAGAGAACTAAACTTTTAGTATCCGTGAGCTATAGGCTACATCTTTCTTTACATTTATTGTTAGTTTTAAAAAAACCTTTTTGATTACTTTGTTTTTGTTATACATAATCTCTATACACAATATACAAATTTAGAACACCTTTTAATTTGTGAATTTGTTCGAATAGTATCATATCTATTTGTTGTGTAAAAAAAATTTCACTTTTTATGTTTGAATTAAAATTAATTTTAGGCTCACCTATGATACTTACTTGTCTTAATTCTTTTCTAAAAGATATATTAGTGTTTACATAATAGGTTTATGATAGGTTAATTGGCTCCATGTAGTGTGTCCTTTTAGTGTTGCGATGAACGAGGCAACATGAACGAGGCTTGGCGTCGGAATGGGTTTTTTATACTGATTTCGATGATAAGACTCCGACGGGAGTTTTTAGAAGTTAGTTAATTAAACATTCGAAACGTCATAATACCAGGGTAGAGACCCCCTCAAAAGGGTCAATACCATAACCATTTCCTGATGAGAATCTGGTATTTACACTACCTAATTCGTTTGCTTCTTTCTCAAAACACTAATGTATTTTTATGCGTGTCTTATTGTCATGTTGTTTGCTTTGTATTTTGTCTTTGAAATTTGAATTAGTTACCATGTTTGTTTTTTTTTTTTTTCTCAGTTTAATATTGTCATAATAATACTATTATGATATACTGTCCTATTATGTATTAATGTTAGTAAGCACTAACAGTTTATTCGTTTTGAACTACAAATTATAGTACTAAGTTTTTAATAAGTTAACATCTAAGAGTAATAGTAGTAATCTCTAAGTAAGACTTACACCAATTTTTAGCCAATTTTTGACACTTTTTTCGAGATTAAATTCAAGTTCACTTTTTACAAGACTGTAAGTTCCTCTATTTAAATTAAGTTCATAAATTGTGTAAGCGAGGCAAGCATACACATTTCTATTCGAACCATTTACACGCATTTCCTCAGTACGACTTTATTAGTTTGTGCATTGCTTATTCCTTATTTTTCAAGCATTATTTATTCCTTATTTTTCAAGCATTATTTGTAACGCCTTTTTCCATGTCAAAAAAGCTGACCTGTGTCTATTGTGTTATTTCCAATGCGCCTAAGTTCTCACAGCTCCCCCTCCTCTCAATTTTTTGCGTTATAAGTAATGAGTTTAATATACGTTGATAACTTTTAATTTGTGTGCTTGAGGTCTGTCCTTTTTACATAATAATATATATAGATCTACTTCTTTAATATAAAT